CTTTTTAGAGGACCATGTAAGAGAATATGTGACATCATATATGTCATCAAGAGGAGGGAATATATGACATCAGATATGACATATATGATATCATATATGACACAGAATATGTGACATCATATATGACATCAGGGGGAGGGAGAGATTTCTTTAATGTGTTATACAAAGCAAAACCATAAAGAGAAAGATCAATAATTCGACTTCAATAAATTCAGAATTTCTGTTCATTAATACACCATAAAAAAAAGTAAAACAACAAAATAAAAGAAGATATTTGCAACATAGGACTGGCAAAGGAGTAGAATAAGAATATGCAAGCAACTGCTATGAATCAAAATAAAATGACAGACACATTTTTAAAAATGGGCAAAAGAGCAGATAATTCACAAATGAGGAAGTCCAAATTATCAATAAACATCTGAACAGGTGTTCAACTTTTTTAGTAATTAGAGCATTAAAACCATAAAGAAATACTATTTGATACCTCTGTTCATTTCTTAGGGCTGCTGTAACAAATTACTACAAAATTTGATAGCTTAAAAAATGTGTTATTCTCTCACTTCTGGAGGCCAGAAGTACGACAGCAGGTGTTGGCAGTGCTGTGTACCGTCTGAAGGTTCCAGGAGACAGTTCTTCCTTTTTTGAGCTTCTGATCTCATCATGAGATCCTTCCACTGTTTTTAAAAAGATTTTATTTATCTCAGAGAGAGAGAGAGAGAGTACGTGTACACATAAGCATGTGAGCAGGAGGTGGCAGGGGCTCCAGAGGGAGAATTCCCAAGCAGACTCGGAGCTAAACATAGATCCCCCAAGGGATCATGACCTGAACCTAAATCAAGAGTCAGATGCCCCCCCGGCCGGCCTCATTATGAGATCCTTAATTATATCTGCAAGGACCTCTTTTCAAAATAAGATTACATTCACAGGTTCTTGGGGGGTAAGACAGGAACATATCTTTTTGAGGGCCATCATTCAGCGCTTTCACAATACCCATCAAACTTGTTGGTATGTAGGTAGAACAAGGAACTGCTGATATATTAATTGTTAAACGTAGTTTGAAAAACAGGTTGAAAAAAGAGGCATTAAAAATAATTGAGTGCCACATGGGTGGTTCAGTTGGTTGAGCCTCCTGCTCTTGGTTTTGGGTTGGGTCATGATCTCAGGATTGTAAGATGGAGCTGTACATCAGGCTCCGCACCAGCTGTGGAGCCTGCTTAAGAATCTCTGCCCCTCCCCGCTCTCATGCTCGTGTTCACTCTCAAAATAAGTAAATAAAAATAAGAAGTAAAAACAATCAGTAAAAGAATAGAAGTGAGGTACACATATCCTACAGTTCTGTGGTTCCAATCCCAGAAATGAATCCTAGAGCAGTGCTTCTTAAAGTATGGCCCATGAAAGTCTGGGGAGGTCTCTGAAATCCTTTCAGAGGATCTGGGAGGTCAGTACTATTTTGATAATAATACTGACATGTTTGCCTTTTTCACTATGTTGCCATTACACCGATGTAGCAAATACAATAGCGAGATTGCTGATGCCTTAGCGAGAATCAAGGCAGTGGCGCCAAGCGGTGGTGGTAATCATTGTATTCTTCTCCACTTTGCACTACGGATAACGTGCCAGTTTTACAGAAGGAGGTCCTTAAATAAGCATTTACAAATACTAATTTTGTTGAATCTCAACCTTTGAGTATATATCTTTGTAATATTTTGTGTGACGGAATAGGAAATACTCATAAAGCACTTGCCTGTGCCAAAGGACAGTGGTTGCCTTGAAGAAAAGCACTTAATACAGTGATTTGAGTCGAAAGTTGAATTAGCCATTTTTTTCATGGAGTACCCTTTATTCTTAAATAACTAAAAGCCATGGCTACTTAGGTATTTGGCAAACAATTTCTCAGAAATAAATGAAGTAACTCTGACTCTTCAAGAAAGGAGCACAAGTGACAGTATTTACTGCAAGTGATAAAATTTAAGATTTCAAGTGAAAGTTTAGGATTTTGGAAATGCTTTTTTCCCCATTGTGAACTGGACCTCTTTCCAATACTTAAAAGATGTTCCTCATATGATGGGTGATGATACTAATTAGAATCATCTTCTTGGTGGGGGGAGAAAACCACTCTTCTAATTAATTCACAAACGAGAACATTACAAAAGGTGACTTAAGGAGGCACACAGATATCTGCCCCGCCCCAAACTCTGACTGTCTCAGTGAACTTCTGTATAGTAAGAACACCCTTTTTCATTCCAGTTCTGAAGAAAACTGTGTTTAATGATGAAGGAGAGATTTAACTGGTGTTTTACACTTTATATATCCACTATTAATCATATTTTTATGTTAAATTAACTTGGTCATGAGAGATGATGTTCCGTATCTTCAGTCTGAACTTCTCGATTAGGTTAATCCATTTGCACATCTGCGCTGCTGCAGTTCCTTGCTGAAACCTGCACAAAGCGCAGGGTCTCCCTGGTTGTGGTCACGCTCCAGAAACTGTTTCTCTCCTAGTGGCATGGGCCACACTGCGGCTGCTGGTATGCTGGCTGGGTTCTCTGAGGCTCCTGGTAAGAGATGCAGGCCTTGGAGGCTCAACATTGCTTCCTCCACCGAAGCCCGCAGTGATGGCGTGACCTATCGTGTGCCCGACAGCAGAGCCCACAGCCACGCCAGCTGCAGCGGTTGCCATCTGGGCCATGAGACCTGGCTGCTGGGGTGGAGCAGCAGATGGTGGAGCCACTGCCAGCGGCTGAGCTGCTGGTGCAGGTCTAGGCACAGCTCCCATCTGAGGTGTCCAGTTGGCCAGAGGAGCCATGTGGGAGATGTGGCTCCGGCTTCCATGCTCATGGTTAGTGGTGGAGCAGCTCGGCGTCTACAAGTCTGAGTTTTTGCCAGAATCCTCTTCATGACTCAGTGAAGCAGTGTTTTACAGATGCCCAGAGATGATATAGAAAATCATACATGAGTCAAAAAATCCATTGAAAGTAGAAAGTTGACCAAAAGATTGTAATATAGCAAATCACAAAGTTTACTGATAGGACTTCAGATTCCACGTTCTAACATGTAAGAAAGTACCAAGTGTCAAGTCTCGGTGTAACATCAAGAAAGAATCCCCACAATTATCTGTAAAGACTATTGGAATACTCTTTCCTTTCTAATTACATGTATTCTTTGTGAGGCCAGATTTTCTGCATATGCTTTTACCAAAACAACATATAGCCCCAGATTGCAGACAGAAGCAGATACGAGAATCCAACTGTCTTCTGTTAGGCCAGACATTAAAGATACTTTTAAAAATTTAAAGCAATTCCCTCTCCTTTCAACTAAGCCCTTCTCTCAGTTTGCGTCAGCCCAAATTCTTAGACTAACAGACTTTATACTAATGTGATTCATTAAGTGATGGGATTGAAAACTATAAGTGCAGCAAGTGGAATTATGCAAAAGCAAATTAAAATATAACAGTTGAACATTTCTTTTGACCAAGATTGTGGACTTTTTCTTCTTTTTACTCTCTCTGTAGAAATAACAAGTGAAGCAGAATCTCCACTACCTTCCTACTCTCACCGACACAGTGAAAGCTCTATTCCAGAAGAGCTGGGCAGCGCCACTGTGGGCTATCTTCCGTCTGAGTCTGTAGTTCAGGAGCAGCCAGGGAGCCCAGATCATAGTGTACTTACTGAAGAAATGGTTTTTTCACAGGAACTGGAATCTTCTACCTCTCCTAGTAAACATGTAAGTTAATATATATTTATTCCTTACAACTTACGCAATTCATGATAGTGTTGACTATCGCCCATACCTGTAACATACCGTATATGACATTTGAACAGGAGTAAAGATTTTCATTGAATTCTAAAGATTTATAAATACATGAATCTTAGTTTTAGTGGGAGTTATAAAATTATATATTATTAAGTCTATTGATATTGAGGGGATAGGAACTTCTAAAAAATCTTATTAAGATTTTTATTTATTTATTTATTTGAGAGAGGGAGAGAAGAGAGCACAAGCGCTGGGTTCCTGCAGAGGGAGAGGGAGAAGTAGGCTCCATGCTGAGCAGGGAGCCCTATGCGGGTCTGCATTCCAGGACCCCAGGATCATGAACTGAGCCAAAGGCAGACGTTTAACCAACTGAGCCACCGAAGCACCCCAGGAACTTCTAAAATCTTTGAAAGATAATTTAAGGTTGGAGCACCTGGCTGGCTCAGCAGTAGGACATGTGACTCTTGATCTTGGAGTCAGGAATTCAAGCCCCACATAGGGTATAGAGATTACTTAAATAAATAAAACTTAAAAAAAAATAATAATTTATGTTTAATTTAAGTTTAAAGATAATATATTGGAATGACACAAGTTCTTATTAAAATCTATTCTGTCATATAATAGAAACAATAAGATCTTAAACCATACCATTGTGCCTATCTGTAATTTAGTTAATAACTGCCCTTATAAATCGGAATAAAAGTAGTGGTTTCATCTCTTTAAAGCAGATCTGAAATGGTTATTGACTCCAAATTAGAGTAATAGTCACTATTAGAATAAGGTTTTCTACATTGTCCTTAATTCTGTACTTCATTAAAAAAATCTATCTGATAAAAATTTAAGCTAGAAACTTAAGTGTTTTTCTTTTTTTTAAGTGTTTTTGTTTTTAAATTTGATTTTATAAAGTACATAAAGGAATTAACATGTTATTAAATATTATGTGAAAAACTTTGTTAAGGTCTCTCTATGTCTAAAAAAAGGAATACACTTGGGCGCCTGGGTGGCTCAGTGGGTTAAGCCGCTGCCTTCGGCTCAGGTCATGATCTCGGGGTCCTGGGATCGAGTCCCGCATCGGGCTCTCTGCTCAGCAGGGAGCCTGCTTCCCTTCCTCTCTCTCTGCCTGCCTCTCTGCCTACTTGTGATCTCTCTCTGTCAAATAAATAAATAAAATCTTTTAAAAAAAAAAAAAAATAAAAATAAAAAAAGGAATACACTTACATGCAGAATGGAATATCCTTTGGTAGAACCTTCAGTTTATTGTGGATATGAAGAATGAATTGCATTTTCCCATTAAAAAATCAGTCAGATTCATGTGTATTATGCACCTGTAAGATTTGAGAGAAAACCATTTTTTTTAAACGACGATCTAACGAAGAAGCTGTTTTCGTGCTATGTTGCAAAATATTCCAGTGTCTTGGGCACATACCTGAAAACAGATTTTAGATTATAAAAGGCTTCTAATTAAATTATGTTAGCAAATTCTTAGTTCTGTGAAAATAGGCTTATGTATATAATTGTAGCGTGGAATTCACAACAAAGTATGTTTTTTACACAATCTTATTATTACTTCCTGTGTATTGATTAGATCCTACCTAGCATTGTTATTAAGATTCAGAATAACCATCGCCTGATCAAGCTCTAAAAATTAGTTTTTTCCTCTCAAGAAAATATGTCAAAGAATTAAAACTAGCATGTCTTCAAGTGGTTTTTATAATAAAAACTAATATTTGTTGATTGCTACTTACCAGGTGTCAACTAATATGCTAAATGCCTTATGTGGATTATCCTCACAATTCTGTAGATACTGTGTTAAGCCCCACTCCAAAGCTCAGCAGGGTAGGAAACTTGCCCAGATTCACAGAAATAAGAAGTGGTGATAGCTAGATGGCAAAGTCGGCATTCTCACTTCCACCTGATGTCAGGATACAAATTACATCCTTTGTAATACGCTCTGCGGACAGTCTTGTGCTCTCTTTTCTTCTCTTCTTTCCCCTCTTTTTTCCTTCTTTCCACAAAACTAGTACATATTTAGTATTTTTAAAGTTTTTTTTCAGTTTTATTGAGATATAATTGATACACAGCACTGTATAAGTTTAAGGTGTACAGCATAATGGGTTGACATGCATATATTGTGAAATGATTATTACAATAAGTTTAGTTAATATCCCTTACTTTAAATAGTAACCAAAAAAAATAAAAAATGTCTTTTTCCTTATAAAGAGAATGTTTAAGCTCCTGTCTTCGCAATTTTTACATGTACTGTACAGCGACATTCATTAGTCATCACAGCGTTCATTGCATCCCTAGGACTTATGTATCTTATAACTAGAAGTTTGTACCTTTTCCCACCTTCTTCCAATTGCCCCCACCTCGGATAACCACAAATCTGATCTCTTCTGTGAGTTTGGTTTTTTGTTTTTGTTTTTGTTTGTTTTTAAGATTCTACATTTAAGTGAGATCATATAGTATTTGTCTTTTTCTGTCTGATTTATTTCTCCTAGCACAGTGCCCTCAAGGTCCATCCATGTTGCAAATGGCAGGATTTCCTTCCTTCTTTATGGCTGAATAGTATTCCTCTGTGTGTGTGTCTGTCTGTGTTTGTGTATGTGTCTGTGTGTGCATGCACATGTATATGTACACATTTTCTTTATCCATTATCTGTCAATGGAGAACTACCACATGATCCAGCAGCTCCACTTCTGGGAGTACATCTGAAGGAAATTAAAATACTATGCTGAAAAAATACCTGTACCATATTTAGAATTTTTTTAATTAAAAAAAAGATAAATATCACTTAAACAGTAGCCACTCCTACTTTATTATAAACATTTTTTAAAAGCATACTTTTTTATATAGCTTTTTTCTGTGACTTTAAAAAACGTTGAGGTCTTATCCTTTGTATAATTTGTAAACTGTTTTTACTTTTTATCGTCACAGAGTTACTTAAAACTCTTTGTAAATATTATCTTTAACTGCTTGGCTTCTCGAATGTTAAATAGATTTTACAAATGTCTCACAAAACAGTTCACACTTGGTTTTCTGTTTGAACAGTCACCTCCCAAAAGCTGCACATCTGTGTCAAAGCAGGAGTCTAGCAAAGGAAGTCATAGGACTGGAGGACAGTATCGTCTACCTGTCAAGTCCCATCAACACTGTTACAGTTGGTCAGATGAGTCATTATCTATGACACAGTCAGGTAAGACTAATAACAAGGAATTAGTTTTATTCGTATTATATTTGAATTCCTCTTTAATAAGCTTTATCCATCTGTTAATAATGTTATCTTTTGTTGCATTTGTAAAGGCTTTTTGCTTGCCAAGATTAAATCACATAATTTCATTGTTTTTCATTGATAATTAATTATTTCCCTTACTATACAAAATACGACAAACTGTTACATTCTTGGGTTGCTAGCGGGCAGTCTTTTATTCATCAGACATTTGTTGAAATTTTTTTCCATGTGCCAGATACTGCTTATGTGTTCCCATAGTGCTCTGTGCTTCAACTTGTTATACCAGACAGTATATAAATTATAACCAGACTTTACCCAGCAGGTCTCCCTTACTAGCATATAAACTCCTAAAAAGGCAAGTCTATATCTTTTTAAAAGTTATGGCACTAGAACCTAGCAGGTACTTTGCATTGCAAATAGGTATTTATTAAATGTTTCTTGAATGAATTAACGATGACCATGAGGAGAGATAGGAAGGTAGTGCAGGATAGTGTAAGTTTCAAAGGAGGAAATGTAGAAAATAGACTGCAAATGGCGGTAGGGAACATTGTCTGTTTTCCTGTAACCTCTCTGCTCGTATAAAACTCTGTGGTATTAGATGATGAAAGAATGAACAGCCTCTATTCTGTAAGACTTCAGTCTTTAAGATTTGATCTTGGGAAACATATCTATTTAGGCAGTGCTCAGTTTATGTAGGGTTCCAAGGATGATTGCTACTGTGTTGAGTGTATGCCTTTTGAGCTCATTTTTAGTTTGCATTTGAGAGTAGACACTTAATAGAAAAAAAGTGAAATATATTATTCTTATTTTGGTCTTTGATCCTTTTCTATACCCCCAGTTTTCAGTGTTTCAAACAATAGTAAATCATGGGATTTTCCATCACCCATATTTATAAACCACTCTTTTTCTTTGAATAACTGCATAATATTTCAAAGAGTAGATATACCATAACATATTTAACCATTTCCCTAGTGATGATCATTTAGAGTTTCTCAAAATTGCCAATATTCTAATGAACATCTTCATGTATATTTTCTTGTTGTGTATTTCAGTAAGAATAAATTCTTAGAAATGGAATTACTAGGTCAACCCAGTCGAAGAATGTTGTCTACTATATTTATTTGTTGAAAATTATTATATTATACATTTGCTTTCACATACTCTGGTGAAAATTTACAGCCAGTGGAGTAACATGTCAGTAGACATAAACTTTATACTTGGAAGCGTGGATTCTTATCTTGGCTGTATTACTCACTGGTGACTTTCTCCAAGTTTCCTTCCCATATTGGATAATCTTTTCCATTTGTTCCATAGAATAAGAGCATAACCATCCTTGCATGAGTTACAGGGCAAGGATTAGTGATAATGTTAATAAGACACTTTTATTACTAAAACATAACTCAAGTAAGAATAGGTTTAGAGAAATAGCTCTGAGATTTTTTAACTATGGATGTCATCTACCTGTTACTGATGACATCATTATTTGCATTTTTTGTGGTCAGTCTTAATGTAGTGGAGTTATGTAATGCCTTTCTCACCTACGTGAAGGAGAGTTTGTCACAAGCCAAATTAATGCAGGCCACATAATTTTTCAATTAGATTATTCTCTCCATCTTGATGTGTTCAAACAAATTGAAGTGTCATTTACCTGTCCCCTCCCCTCTCCCGCACTACCCAAAAAATCCCTGTAGGAGAGAATTCCGTAAAGGCAATAAATTCATGTAGAGATTCTCTTAGATGTTACTAATGGTAAGTACTATGCAGTAATACTATATTTGGGCAGATACAGAATATAGTCCCATTCACTCTCATAGACTTTTATTTAATTTCTACCCTTCATTTGTATACTTTTGGTTTCTTTAGTACTTAAAATTAGAAACATTTTCCAAGGTCTTTCATCTAAAAACTCCCAAGTTTTTCATCATCCATTGTTAAATCTTCACAACCATAGGTGATAAATGTTTTTATTAGAATAATCACTGCTGGCATATGCAATTTTTAAAATACAGTAAAATAATCATTTTGGGAGGGGGGCAAAGTTGAAACTAAGTCTGTGGAAGTATAATGGTCCTGTATACAGTTTTATCAAAGTAATGTCTCAAGTTTCAGAAGCACATAAAAGCTTATCAAGCTAAAAGAAGCACAGTTTTAGAAGATGAAAAGGTTTGGGTTTATACCTCATTTTAGAAAGATTTTAATTTTTAGGTCAGCCTGCAGTCCTACTCCCAGTTGTTATACTAGAATCATCAGTTGAATCTCTACAAAGCCTGCCGCTAAGTGTTCAGAACCTTTTAAGCCTGAAACCAATTGATTATTTTTTTCAGAAATTAAAAAAAAAGAAAGGGAGATAGTTGCTCTCTCCCCACCACCACCATTTTTAGGTTTCAGACCAAAAAATAGATTACCTAAAATACAGCTACATAAAATGTTGGTCTTAGGTGAATATGGATCCTACCACCATTTATTGAGCTTTTGTGGTAGTTGAGGTGCTGTGTGTTTTATTCATCTTATTTAATTTGCACATCAATTCTTGAAATCGGTAGGGGGCAGACACCTTACTGATGACCAGTAGTAGATCCAGAGTTGAAAATGGCCTTTATTATTACGTTATTTTGTGAGTGTTAATCAGTAAATAGTAAGCCTTGCCCATGCTTCAGGCTCAGTATGATGCCACCACTGGTATAAGATGGGTGTGACTTTTCCTGAGGTACCTTAAGTCAATGGCAGAGAAGTGACAGGAACTTAGATTTCATTATCTCTAATCCAGATATTGGATCGTACTATCAAAAAAGACTATAATCCTGTTGCATTTAAGTAAATTCTATAATTAGTTCTTATGCAATTTAATGTGAAGAACCTGAGAAACACCTGGTTATTTATGGTCTAATGTTGTAGTGTACATCTGAGTCTTCAGGCCTATATACAATAGTATTTATGTTGCTATTAAATGTCTCGCTCAGCATTAATGTGTGGAACTGATACCATTGCGTGAGTTTAGGAGGAAGTGTGAGGAATAGTCATTTGTATTTCTATGTAATTTCCATATGTAGTGAAATAAGCAGCATATTTGTTTAATTATTTAAATTTTTGGTGGGCAGTAAATCAAGGTTTACTGAACGATAGCAAAGTAATGGTACAAAGCTGCTGAGGAGGGAGGGGACCCAAGAAGGTTTCCCTAAGCAGCAGCTTTAAATGATACTATTTTCATAGCATGTGTGTGGCACTTATAATGAAATGTCTTTTTCATGATTTTGCTATGACTGGGCATCTACTTTGTGTGTATAGGGAACTATTGGGAAGAAAATAAAATGTAACTAGCTTCATTTCATTTATTTTAAATATTTTAAGAGCTTCTAAAGAAAGATTACAGCAGAGTATATTTCTTTTTAATTTCTCTGTTCCCTTTTATGTGGCATTAAGACATCATCTGATGATTCATAGTCAGTTTAAAATGACAAAATTTCAGGGCACCTGGGTGGCTCAGTTGGTTAAGCCTCCGACTCTTGGTTTTGGCTCTGAGCATGGTCTCAGGGTCATGAGATCGAGCCCTACGATTAAGCTCTGCACTCAGTGGGGAGTCTGCTTGGGAATTCTCTCTCCCCCTCTCCTTCTGCCCTCCCCCTGCTCGCATACACACTCTCTTCCTAAAATAAATCTTTAAAAAAAATAAAATGACAGAATTTCAGGGTGTCTGGGTGGCTCAGTTACTTAAGTATCTGCCTCTTGATCTCAGCTCAGGTCTTAATCTTACGGTTGTGAGTGCAGGTCGCACATTGGGGTTCATGCTGGGAGTGGAGCCTACTTTAAAAACAACAAAAGACAAAATCATTTTGATTTTAATATGACTTAAAAACTGTTAACAACTAAGGGGAAAGACAGATAAATATGATTATCTTGTCATCAGGAAATAGTTCCTTAAAAAAATGTCCAAATTTTATTAACCTAAAAAGTTTTCAACTTCTAGTTGCTTATCTCACCAAGATGGGGTACCTTGAGATTTATTTGCAATTTCAAATAGTATAATTAGAAAGTGAAAAAAATAGGTGGAAACCTCCCCCTCCACCCCACCCCTCCCGCCCAATAGAGATTTAGGGGAAAGGAGAGGAAATGTAAATCACTAATAAATTTTTTTCAAAAGCTCAAATTCCTTAATTTTAAATGTTAGATTGACTTTATTCAAGTTTAATATCACATTGCAGCTTTTCATGAATAATATAATTAATAGTTATTGAATTAACTCTCCTTTCTTTAAAGATTTATTTATTCATTTGAGAGCAAAAGAGAGGGAGCAGGGGGACCAGGGGCAGAGGGGGAGAGAGAGAATCTCACGCAGGCTCCCTGCATGTGGAACCTGATGTGGGGTTCAGTACCAGGACCCTGAGATCGTGACCTGAGCCAAAAGCAAGAGTCAGACACTTAAATGACTGAGCCATGCAGGTGCCCCGAATTAACTATTCTTAAGTTAAAACTAAATAAGAGATTTTGTATCTCTTTCAGAAACAACATCCGACCAAAGTGACATTGAGGGTAGGATCAGAGCCCTAAAGGATGAGCTGCGGAAAAGGAAATCAGTTGTGGACCAGCTAAAGAAGGAACAGAGAAAAAGGCAGAAGGAAAGATTGAAAGCCCAAGAAGCCAGTCTGATCAAACAGTTAGAGGTGAGACACAGGAGGAAGGGGGTTCGATATCAAGGCTAATGTGTATGTGAAGTCTGTTTTTAATGTTGTTAATAAAGTCATGGGTTAGAATTTTTCAGTATTAGTTTGGTGCCACATTTTAACCTCTTTCTAAAAAATCTGCGACAATCTAAAACATTAAATGTTAAAATAATATTATATCAATTATTAAGTAAATATTAAAATCAAGTGTTAAAGGTTTTTTTTCTAAATAGACCTGTGAAAGATTGATATCCATGCACTCTGAAGCAGAGAATCATCAGGTAAGTAAGGAGGGCACGTGTTGCATGGAGCACTGGGTATGGTGCATAAACAATGAATCTTAGAACACTGAAAAAAAAATTACAAAAAAAATCAGTAATTGTTACTGCCTTTTTAAAAACAACTTGTTTTTTAAGCAGAGTGATATTTCATGCCACACGGTTTATTAATGCGACTCTTTGTACTATTTGAATGGCTCCAAAATGAAAATTCTAAACTTGACTCTTCTCCTAAGCTCTAGCAGCCTTCCCTGATTCTGCCCCAGGCTGGAAACCTGGTTTTCATAGCTTCCTTACTCTATTTTGTCCTATCCATTCAGTCACCCATTGATTCTTTTCTTTATAAATCTTCTTGCTTATCATTTTCCATTCCAACTGCCATCATGCTCTTTGGATCCTTATGACCTCTCTGCATAGCCTCTTGAATGTCCCTGTCTCTGGTTGCTTCCCTGTTGCTTGCATACTTTCTGCCAGCCTCATGTTCCTAAACTGCTACATTCATCATAGGATCGATATAAACTTCTGCTCCTCACAAGAATTATTTCTCATGGCATCACCAGAGAAGACCATTCAGCTTCTACCTGAACACTTCCAGTAATAGGAAATTTCAAATTTTTAAGGCAGTTGGTTTCACTGTTAGACTCTAGGTTCTCTACATGTTAGAAAACTTTTTATTAAGTTTAGCCAGTATTTCTGTCTTTTTAATGGTCCTTGTTGTGGTCACACCAAATATGTGTTCCTCCTACCTTTATTAGTTTAATCATCAGATATTTAAATGCCTATTTGTATGCCAGGAACTCAGCTAATTACTTAACACATGTTCTTCATTTATCCTCAAGCAACAATGTATGGCTTTACTGTCCCTGTCTTACAGATGAGGAAACTGAGTTTCCTCAGTTTCCCTGATACTGAGGGACACGCAGCTCATAAATGGTAAAGCTAGGATTTTAATGTATCTCTAATTCTAAACTTTGTACCCTCACCATTATACTGCACTATCGTCCACATAGAAAATAAGGCTATTAACAGTTGTGGAGAAAATAGTTACACGAATACATGATACAGAGATGGGAACACGGATTGTAACTTGCACAGATGTTTAGAAGTAGGAAAAGTGGCTAAGGTAGAATGACCACACTGGCAAGATCATGTTGGAAAGGATTGGTAAACAAAATTTAAAAATGAAGATCATGTTCAGGACCTTAGAGTCAGTCGGCAGTCTTCAAGCCTGACCACACATTAGAATTAATTGAGGAGCTTTTTGAAAAATACAAATATTCAGGCTCCCTCCCAGAGGTATTAATTGGTCTAGGGTAGAGCCCAGAATTTAAAAGCACTAATGTAGGTCATGAGGAACCATTGAAAATTAAATGAAATACACTTAGATTGAAAGGCGTTGCTCAAAAATGTTCATTAATGGATATGCCAGCCAGAAAGACCTCTAGAGAAGAGCCATAGCATCCACGTCATCCACCATTTTATTAAATGGTTTACAGGGAAAAGAAATTTCTGTATTTAGGTTTTAGAATTATAGTATATGATGGAGAAATACATAATAGATAGCATTTCATATAAAATCCTTTAGATTTTATTTAATCACAGATATAATAAATCAACTACATTCATGTACGTATAGCTTTCAGATCAGAATTCAGAGGGAGGTAATAAGGATAGTGCAAGTCGTAAAAGTAGGGACTTTAGCCCAAGTTTTAGGGATCTGTAGCAGTTGAATAGTATCTGTACATCCATTCAGTCTTAATATTTATTGACAGCCTATTTGGGGCCACACATTGAGTTGGTACTGAACATTCAGTGTTAAAGAGAGCAGCTGTAGTCTCAGATAATGATGGAAAAGTAGGGATTTTAGACCAGAAAATTAAGAAATATAGTAGATGAAGGGCTTCCCTTAGATTTCGTCCAAATTAGGATTATACGCTAGCGATAATGGATAGGAATGGCTGGTAACATTTTTTGTAATTCTGAGCTATCATATTCTTAACCACACCCTTCCTTCTTCCTCAGGATTTGTATTCCCAAGTATTCCTTAGGATTTGTATTCCTAAAAAGGTGCCATTTAACTCAGCATCGTGGCTAAACTTCTTAAAAATAACATGGAAGTATTAGGACAGCCTTTAAAGAATAATTACCTTATCAGCTAAAGAAGTTTTTTCATGTGGCAGAACCTGAATTATTGGTTCATAGGTATTAAATTTCTGTAGAGTGGAGACTGTCATTTCCTGATTGATTTAGGACACTGGTAACTGGTTGAGCAGAGAGCCCGATGTGGGACTCAATCCCAGGACCCTGGGACCATGACCTGAGCTGAAGGCAGAGGCTTAACCTTCTGAGCCACCCAGGTGCCCCAGGACACTGGTAACTGGGAGGAAGATTTTTACATTACATCTTCTCTATTTGAATATTTTACTGTAAAATGTACTATTTTCTAATTTAAAATAGTTTTTTAAAACTGTATAGTGACTCCTCTGATTTTTCTAAACTTAGTCATATGATGAATTCATTAAGAAAACTGAAGCAGAGCTTAGCCGAGATTTGGAAACATCACCAACAGCCAAGCCTCAGATTAAAATGCTCTCCTCAGCTTCTGAAAAACCCAAGATCAAGCCCCTTCCATTACACAGGTAGAAATTTGTGATAACTTATCTATATTCTGCCTTGTTGGAGAAGTTTGTGTAAAGCATAAAGAAAGACTTTTAGTAAAGCTATCTTTTAAGTAACTGTGAAATTGTAGAAGTAAAAATATTGGTTAATATTTTCACTGATTTGTTATGTATGATACAATCACAAATCAAATGTATAATAAGGTACAAATTTAAAAATATATTTTGAATTCTGAAATCTGGTGGTTGCAATGAAAATAATATCCTCCAGTGTTGCTAGTAGTAGCATTTTAAGTTGATATAGACCTTTTAAAAAGCAGTTTGCCAGTGTTTCAAAAGTAAAAGACAATCTGTAACTTTTGACTCAGTAATTCCACTTCTGAATACCTAGCTTGAGAAAGTACGGGCTATCAGAAGTCTCTATTTGCATGAATATGTTTATCATAACATCCTTTATCTTAATATAACACATTAGAAGCAATCTTTATGTCCAACAATGGGTGACTAGCCCAGTAAATTATGGTTCTTTCCAGGGATAGAATATTATGCAACCAGTTAATGCAAATACAGAAGATATGCTCGAGTATATAAGATAGTGCATTAAAAAAGTCAGGTTGCTATATTTAAAATAAATTTTGAACAGTGAGTAGGGGGTAGACAGTCAGTGGGGACTGACAGATTGGGGCATTTGAGAGAGAAAGGCTTGCATGAATGACCAAAAGCAGTAAGGAGTTTGGCATATCCTAGAAATTGAGCATATTAAGATGTTGCTAAAGTTAGAAGAGACTGGAAAAATAAAAACCAAACTGTGAAATCTTGAACTCGCTCATTCTTAGTAATTTCTACTGCACTTTTCAGAATAGATGAAGACTTTGAAGGTTTTTAAAGAAAATGTTTAGGGATTTTTTTTTTGTCTGTTACAGAAATAATGTAGACTCAATATAATTAATTTCACATTACCCGAGTTTGAATCCTGGTTCCAATACCAGCTAGCTATTTAGTTTTGTCAGACAAGCTACTTAATCTGTCTGTGCTTCGGGTTTTTTTAATAGGGATTTATATCCCTATAATAACATGACTAATTAACTTGTTATGAGAGTTAAAAGACTTAACTTAGAACAGAGCTTAGCATACAATTAACACTATGTATTAGTTACTATTATTATTATTTGTTATTATTATTATTAGAATACTGAGGGAAGCAGTAAAAAGAAGAAAAGTTTAAATTATATACCCAACTACCTGAAAATTGCAAATGTCAACAATATGTCTTATGCTTAGATTTTATTTATATTTTTCCATTATATTATAAATTGTAAATCTTATTTTTAGATTTCTACATAATATACTATTGCATGCTTTATAGTTTTATTAATTAGGCTATTGGAGGATTTTAACAAGAGAATGATGCAATCACACAGAGAGATCTTTCTGACTATAACTACTCTGTGAAGGAAAGGTAGGAAAGAGTAAGCTTAGAAGCAAGGAGAACAGGAGTCTAAGCCAAGCCTCAAATAAAAAGTGGTTATAAGAACAGAGATAGGAGGTATATTTAGAAATATTTAAGAAGTAGGGGGCGTTTGGCTGGCTCAGAGAGTAGAGCATGCAACTCTTCATCTCAGGGTTGCAAGTTTGAGCCCCACATTAGGGGTAGAGTTTACTTTAAAAAAAAAAAAGAATTTATTCTTAAAATTTCTTAAGAAACATTTAAGAAGTAGACTTGACTAATTAAAGTGCTAGATAGTGAAGCAGGAGAAATGTAGAATGACTCCCAGGTTTTCTTTTAAGTAGTTGGCTGGGTCAAAGTTCCATTAACCTAAAAGGAAAAGTCAGATGTTCTTTTGTGGGAAGCTTATGATTTTGGTTTTAGAATACTAATTGTGAGGTGCCCATAGTTCACCTAAGGGAAATTATCCAGGAAAGATACCAGGGTGAGATATATGGGGATGGTCAGCTAAAGATGGTGGTTGAAACCACAAATATAACAATATCACCCAAAGAAGATATGCATTCAGAGAGAATAAGAGGGATCCAAGTACCAAACATGATAAAATAGCATTTAAAGGCATCATAAAAGAGACAGAAGTAGAAGGCAAATACTATGACTTCACAAATAAAGAGAAAGCAAGAAAATGAAGAAGGTAGCTAGCTCTTCCTGTTAACTTAATAAGAGAAGACAACAGCAGGATGTGGAAGAATGAAGAATTGAGGGTCAAAATTTTGAGGCTCATAGCATCCTTACAAGCTAAGGGGAAAAAATCTCCAGGTTGAAGAACCAAAGATTATAGGAAAGAGAATGTATAATTGAGGAGTACCATTATTGAGACTGTGGAACTGTGTGAGATTTTAGGAAGAAAGAGATTCAAATAATCAGCTTTGAATAAGGGTGAAAGACACCCCTTTTTCTTTCTTGGAGACGGGAAGAAAGGCTACAAATATAGATATATTTGTAGGTGGGAAGTTTGGCAATAAGAAAGTTCATGCTGGTGGTCTCTGTCTCACTAAAAGAAGCAGGATTATCTAATCAGAGTGATAAGGGCCAAAAACAGGCTTAATGAAAGTGACAGGGCAGGGCGCCTCCTGTGAAGGAGAAATTGTCTTAAGACTTGACTACTTTTTGTTACCAGTTATTGTAGTATCAGCGGTACATTTATTTCTACTCATTAATTTTCTGTTTCAGATCTGAAACAGCAAAGAACTGGAAATCACTAACCGAGTCAGAACGCTCCAGAGGATCATTGGAGTCCATTGCTGAACACGTTGGTATGTAATTAGAAAAAATAATTGTGCTTTGTCTACATAGACTAAGGATTTATCCAAGTGCTTACACAACTCTACCTCTATAGCTTTTTGATTGAAAAATAAATTTCTTAAAGATAATAATTATTGAAATTTTAAGTTACTTTGATATTTTAAAGTGATTTATTCGCTATATATAAATTCTGTGAATAAGTCTTTATTGTCCCAAATTTGTGATAAAAAATGAAGCATAAAGAAATTAATCTAAAATGGCTAAGTGTATCATTGGCAATATTATCAGATTTTATAACTGAGTATATATTTTTTAGCCTATACTGTTGTTCAGAGTTAAGTGGTCATATATATTTTTTTCAACTTAATCCAAAGAAAGGTAAGAATTACTGAAAATAAAGTACAATTCAATGAGAAAATAAAACTGATGCATAAAAAAGCCTACTTACAGGCAATGACAAAATAGAGATTTGAATTAAAAACTTTTAATTCTTGGTTTGTTAGCTCATCACATCTTTTTTTTTTTTTCTTCTGCGATTTTAGCTCTTAAAATGCTATTTTTGGGGTGCCTGGGATTGAGCTCCACATTGGGCTGTGTGCTCAGCAGGGAGTCTACTTAAGGATTGTCTCTCTCTCTCTGCCCCCTCCCCCAACTTGAGTTCTCTCTCTCTCTCTCTCTCTCTCTCACTCTCGCTCTTCTCCCCACATAAATAAATCTTTATTTAAAAATTCTGTATTTGCAGAAATAGTTTTCTTTTTTCTTGTGTTTTTATTTTTTTTTTTACATTTGAGAGCTTAGTTGAAGTCTCCAGGAAAATCCATTCTTCTCGAAGTATATATAGAAGTATATTTGTCCTTCCTTCATTGTTTTTCTATATGAAATATGTATGTAATATCCATTGTACAATTCTGGTTTTGCATGATTTCAGGATGATCATGCAAATCAATGTCTTCATAAACTTAGAGCCATTTTTCTTCACTTTATAAGTTAAGACGACATTTAAGAAATTATTTCAAACTTTAAATTTTCAGTCATTCTAAATGTTCTGGTTATTGTTGGTACAATATGTTCTCTTAAAGGAAAAACTTACTTTTATAAATAACCAAAACAGGTTATAGTTATTGACCAGAGTTTTTCCTCATAAAGATTTGGCTTTTATTTAGCCTTTGGTTCTAGACGTTGAAAGATTATAATTAAATAATTTTGATAATGATTTTTTCTTTTCCTTTAAGATGCTGCATTGGCAGGTTCTGAGAGATCGATATCAGAAAGGTCTTTATCTGCATATGCAAAGAGAGTGATTGAATTGGATAGACAGACAGAAGAGCATTTTCATACTTCATCTCCAATTCTTAGATCATCAAGGAGAACCAGAGCAGAATCTGGAGATTCTCTAGAAAATGTACCTTCATTACCTCTTCTCAAAGAATTGAATGCCCCTAATAGAATTCTGGATGTGTCAGATGCCCAAGAAGACTCTAGTCAAAGATCAGAAATAGAAGAAGTAGACTATACAAAACTGAAGGCGCGTGTGATTGAAGATGCCTGTTTGAAACAATCTGGGAAGTCTGATGTCTTACTGAAGCTAGACCTGGAACAGGGAGATTCATCTGAAATTCTTTCAAGGAAAGATCTTCCTTTAGATTCTGTAAAGGTTCAAGAAGACTTGGTTAGATTAGCCATTGAAAATCTTCACAGAAGGGAGTTGAAAGAGAAAGAGTCAGATCCAGATGTGGATCATAGTCCGAACATCCAATCAGAAAAAGACATTCCGGAGCAAAAGAATATAAAGGAAAGGGACTTGTCTTTGTTAGGACATCTTTTTGCTCCTAAAGAAATATCATACTCTGAAGATTTTGAAGTGTCTTCTTTTAAGAAAGACATTTCAGCTGAATTGTACAAAGATGATTTCCAGGTGTCATCTTTGTTGTCACTCAGGAAAGACTCTCAGTCTTGCAGAGACAAATCACAGCCAACCGGGAACTCTACAAGTAGAGCCATTAGCTTTGGCAGTGATGATGAAATCAGTGAGTGCCTCAGTGAGAAAAGCCTTTCTGTTCATAGCAGTATCCACTCAGAGAGGCTGTTGGAACTCAAGTCCCCTACTGAGCTTATGAAAAGTAAGGAGCACGGTGATGTAGAGCATGAGCAGGGAGTTATGGAATCCCCTTCCTTCATTTCAGTTTCTGTGGCAGATGAGTTACATAATTTCCACATTGGTGATAGGGTGTTGATTAGCAATGTTCAGCCAGGAACTCTTCGATTCAAAGGAGTGACTAGTTTTGCTAAAGGATTTTGGGCTGGAGTGGAGTTGGATAAAGCTGAAGGAAATAACAATGGAACGTATGACGGCATTGTATACTTTGTGTGCAAAGAAAAACATGGTATTTTTGCTCCTCCTCAAAAAATATCTCACATTCCAGAAAACTTTGAGGACTATGTAGACATAAATGAAGATGAAGAGTCTTACTCAGATGGACAGTATCAGTACTATAATCACGAACAGAAAGATAGAGTGGATTCAAAGTTTGATAGAGAAAAGGAAGCAGTTAAGTATTTTGATGAGAACTCTCTACCTAGTATGCATGATATAGAAGCCTCACTTGATAGAAGCCTTAAAATAGAAACAGACAACATTCAGGACATTTCTGGGGTACTTGAAACCCATGTTCACCAGCAGTCTTTGGTGGATTCACCGATCTGCTCAAAGGAAAACAAAGACCTTGTTTCTCCTGCCACAGAAAAGGTTTCCATTGTTGTAGAAGGTGATATTTTAGATAATAACTTTTCTGAAGAGTTAAAGAAGCAACAGCAGTTTACAGAAAAGGAAGAGAACCTATATCCCGAGGTGTCAGAAAAGCTTTCTACTCCGCTTCTGGATCTTTTAACGAGAGAAAAGAACCAATTGGAAGCCCAGCTGAGGTCATCACAAAGTGAGGGAGAAAAGTCAAAGCAACAGCTAGAAAAAGTCAGCTTACTGACAGACAGTTTACTAACAGTCTTTGTGAAGGACACGGTCAGTCAACTACAAGAAATCAAAAAAGCTAGGGATGAGAAAATCCAGCTTAGCAATCAGGAGCTTCTTGATGATGATCAAAAGAAAGTACCACCCCAAGCCCTATCCCCAAATCTTGAGGAACAGTCATCAAGTGTTCCAGCTTGCTTCTTAAGGTCTGAATTAGAAGATGAAAAAGAAGAGATTTCTTCACCAGATATATGCCCCAGACCTGTAAGTATTTTATCTAGACAGAATGTCAATTAACTTTATCTTTGTAGCACATTTTAATTCTGTAGCTCCTGATAGGTTTTTTTTTGACGTGTTATTTATTAGATAAAAATCATGTACTAGTTCTTAAAGGCCTTGTTGCTGTTTTTCTGTCTGAAGTATAATTGTTCTCTGTTACGTCATGAGTGGTCACTATAGGGTTGTCACAAACACTAGCAGCTTTATGCTGGATTGGTGACCCTCAGGTGCTCTCCACAGGTTAGAGTCCCTTCCACATTCACTGAACAGATTTATTCCATGGAGCTTCCTAGTGGTTCTCAATCCAGTTCCTTTTTTGCCTATGAAATTATTTGTCTACCTAGTTACTCAGTTACCTTGTGGATATTACCAGTTGTGATGTTGATTCTGGTAAAACTGAAATATATCCACTGTGACATATACTCAGACCGTCAGCTTACTTAGGTTGCCCATGGACAGTTGAACAAAAGTAATGATTTTGAGTAACTTGAGCCAGATAATCACAAAAGGTGAGAAATTTCCTATAAGATTTCCATACCCCACAGACAAGAGTCCCTCAGAAACAAAATAATGATGATTCAAAAAGAAAAAAGCAATAAACATTTTATAAATTTCAATTTTAAGTCTTATATAAGCACAATTATGGGTTTTAGGATAGTTTTTTCTTAAATTGTTGATTAGTAGTCACCATAATGTTTTGCTTATAGAGAAGTAATAAAATATAAATAATATATTTGGTTTATCTTTAAAAAAAAAAAAAAACCCAAATGAGTGATCTGAGGTCACTAAATGGTGCTCTCTTTGAATGGTTCCATTTCTGTAGGAGAGTCCAGTATTTGGTGCCAGTGGGCAGGAAGAACTTGCGAAGAGACTTGCCGAACTTGAAATCAGCCGGGAGTTCCTGAGCGTGTTAGGAGATGATCAAGACTGGTTTGATGAAGACTTTGGTTTGAGCTCTTCTCACAAGATCCCCAAAAATAAGGCAGAAGAAACAATTGTACCTTTAATGGCAGAACCTAAAAGAGCTCCCCAGAAGCCATGTGAAACACTATTGGCAGTCCCACATACTACAGAGGAAGTAGAAATTCTTGTACATAATGCAGCAGAAGAACTCTGGAAATGGAAAGAATTAGGTCATGATCTTCATAGCATTAGCATTCCTACAAAACTGCTTGGCTGTGCCAGTAAGGGTCTAGATTTAGAAAGCACTAGTAAAAGGGTCTACAAACAGGTATGTAACATGGAAGGATAATTTTAATTTTTAAATTTATCTCCATTGTCTGAAATTTGGATTCTTAGCCATTTTGTATTGTTTTATTTTTCCCTATCAAGGCGGTTTTTGACTTAACAAAAGAGATTTTTGAGGAAATATTTGCCGAGGATCCCAACTTAAATCAGCCTGTCTGGATGAAGCCATGTCGGATCAACTCCAGTTATTTCCGACGAGTGAAAAACCCAAATAACCTTGATGAAATCAAGGTAAACTGCAAACTAGAAAGTATCTCCTTTGTTTGACTTGCTCTTCATTTATGCAGATCTTATAAATGCATAAAAGCAGGTACCCTTTTGTATTATTCGCCCTCTGTCCTCAAGGCCTGTCGCATAGGAGGTATTAAATAAATGTTTGTTGATTCATTGAATCCATAAGCAGTGGAGGGATGGGGGAGAGGGAATCCTGAATCCTCAGGATTTTGCAAAGCATAATTTGAACAGTCATTTCCTATATATACATAGTTTATAATACTTAAGAAAAAATTAGGAAATAGGGAGATAACTTACTGTGATTCATTGGAGTTTTAGGTAAATTTTTGGCAATTTAGAGATAGGTATTCTAGGAATATACCTGAAAACATGTCATATATCAAATATGCCAGCCCTAGACAGATGTTAACCTTTCCATTTTTGATTTTGGAGGTTTTGAATTAGTAATGTGGCTTTGAAATATGTGGGATAGTAATATGATATATAAAATATAGTGTTTCTAAGAAGTCCCTGAAAAGATTAAGTGCCCTGAAGTTACAATGACTCCCAACAAGACTTTAGAGTCACATTGGTAGAAATCTCTGCCTGTTCACATGTTTCTTTAATATATCAAAGGTTATATTTCCAGTGCAGTGCCTCTCAAATGGTAATGTGAATATGACTCATCTGGGGATTTTGTTAAAATGCGGATTCTTACTCAACAGGTCTGGAGTAGGACCCGAGATTCTGTGTTTTTAACAGGCTCCTGAGTGATGCGAATGCTGTTGACCCTAGAACCACTCTGAGTAGCAAGGCTCTGAAGTTGTGTTTTCCAGACTTTATTTGATCACAGAAAGCTCATTTTCCCTATAGCTAGCATACCTCCAACTATAGTTGATCCTTGAACATCGTCGGTGGTTAGGGATGCCAACCCCCTACTCAACTGAAAATCTTTAGCTACCAGAATAGCCTACCAGAAAGCTTACCAATAACATAGTTAACACATATTTTGTATATATATTATATACTGTATTCTTAAAGTAAGCTAGGGAAAAGAAATGTTATTAAGAAAATCTTAAGGAAGAGAAAATACATTTATGGTACTGTTATGTATTCACTGAAAAAAATCCGTGTATACGTGGACCCACACACAGTTCAAACCCATGTTGTTCAGGGCTTCCCTGTACTCATCTTACTGCTGGATTTTCTTAGTCATCGAGGAGTGTATGTGGTCTATTAAAATACAGTAGGGGCTCCTGGGTGGTTCAGTGGGTCAAAGCCTCTGCCTTCGGCTCAGGTCATGATCCCAGGGTCCTGGGATCAAGCCCCGCATCAGGCTCTCTGCTCAGCAGGGAGCCTGCTTCTCCCCCTCCCCTCTTTCTGCCTGCCTGTCTGCCTACTTGTGACCTCTGTCTGTCAAATAAATAAAAATAAAAATATTTTTAAAAAATACAGTAAAGAACATACACAATATTCTGATATATAATGTGGAAGCATTGCCTAAGCAATTTAGCCTTTTTTTATTCAAATATAATTAACTTATAACATGTTATACAGCTGTACAGCATAGTGATTTGATATTTGTATCTGTTATGAAAAGGTCACCATAACAAGTCTAGTTAACATCCATCATCACATATTGTTTCAAATTTTTTTGTGTGATGAAAAATTTTAAGATCTGCTATTGCAGCAACTTTCGAATATACAATATAGTATTAACTATAGAGAGCTTTTGAAAATATTTTATACTCATAGAACATCAACAGATGTTTATGAAATACAATATGCTTACTTCGAAGTTCGGCAAGCTATGGCCCACAGACCAAATGCAGCCTACCACCTGTTTCTATAAATGAAGTCTTATTGGACCACAGCCACACCCAGTTGTTTAAATATTGTCTATGGCTGCCTTCCTGCTCTAACAGCAGGGCCAAGTAGTTGTGACAGAGACCACATGGCCCACAAAGCCTAAAATTTTTACAGTCTGGCCCTTTACCGAAGTTTGCTGACCCTAGCTTAAATTGAAATAAGTAGTACCCCCCCAAAAAAGTTTTCAAAGATTAATTTGATTCATTAAAAAAAAATAAAAAGACTTTAAAATTATTTTCAACTTTGAGAAATAGAGTATCAGAACCTCCTGGGGAGCTTTTTCAAAACACTGGTGTACTGCATTCTTTCAGCCCTCCAAAATTGCTACATCCTTGAGAGAGAGGGGTGGTAGAGTTTGGGGACACATTGGTTTGAGAATCTTCTCAAATGATTCTGAATCATAAATGTATCTTTTCCCCCATTAGGAACATTGTTTTTTTAACAGAACAACCATAAAAAGTAGTAAAAACCCAAATTATTTTGTTAATAACAGAGAACAAATAAGTTGAAATAAGATACAGAATATATATATCAACAGTCATCCCATGCGTAAATCTTTATAACACACAATGATGCTACCCATCAATTTCAATATTGAAATGGCATTTTGTAAAGTTTTTTTTAAGGGTGATAGTTTAAATATTGATACTAAAATTATCGTGCTTTTTATACTGAAGTGTTGATTAGTATTTTTTTAATTCAACATACTCAGTCATGGTGCTTCAAAATAAACTGTCCTAGCCAAAGCCTGTACTTTGCTCACATGGCATTGTTTCCAACATTTATATGGGATTTTTTCAGGTGCAGAGATTTATTTTATGCTTCCTTTGGTAGTTTTGCCAGCTTGAAGTTAGCTGAGGGTGGGTTCTTGGGTAGAGGGGACTCTAAAGTGATTTTTCTTTGCAGATTCATCAGTGGGTTTTACTTTTGTGTGTTGGGTAAAAACAAAAATTCTTTAAGTGAATAAAGTATGAGCATTTGGAATGCTTTTGTCTTCAAAATGCTAAGTGGAACAGTAAATGGAAGAATTTGTTGTGATTTTTAAATTATGAATGTCATATTCTTAGCATAAATCTCCATTATGAGCACTAATTCCCAGGAACTTGGTTGTTTGTGTTTCATTCCGTCCTCTTATTTTCACAGAACTTCATAGCCACAGAAGTACTCAAGTTGTTTAGTCTTAAAAAGGAGCCAAACCACAAAACAGATTGGCAGAAAATGATGAAATTTGGAAGAAAGAAAAGAGATCGAGTGGATCATATCCTGGTCAGTGCGTATAACTGAAATATTTTTATTTTTATTATCTCTTCTAAAATCGAGATGTATTTAGAGTCTAAAAAGAAGGGGAAGGTGCGCCTGGGTAGCTCAGTAGGGTAAGCATCCAACTCTTGGTTTTTCTGCTTAGGTCATGGCCTCGAAGTTGTGGGGCCGAGCCCGGTGGTGTTAGGCTCTGTGCTTAGTGTGAAGTCGCTTCAGATTCTCTCTCCCTCTCTTTCTCATTCACCTTCTCTCTCTCAGTAAAAAGATACCAGTGTAGATTCTGGGTCCAGATTGCCTGAGTTTAAATCCCTTTTCTGCCACCTACCTGGTGCGTAATCTTGGACAAATTGTCTAACCTCTTTATGTCTCATTTCCCTGTCTGCAATCTGCCAGTACAATTTTTAAGAGGATTAAATGGATGTATAGAAAAGTTCCTTGTATATAACTCAGTAAATATTAGTTGTTACCATTTTGTCATCATTATTATCCAGAGCTTTAGCTGGATAGTATATATTCCATTTTGCGATATATTTTTTTAGCATTAGAAAAATGTTTATCAAGGTGTTTTGGCTTGGTGGGTTAAGCACCTGACTCTTGATCTCAACTCAGGTCTTAATCTCAGGGTTGTAAATTCAAGCCCTGCATTAGGCTCCATGCTCAGCCTTTAAAAAAAAAGAAAACTGTGTGTCAAACAAAAAAGAAAAAGGAAAGGAAGAGAAGTCTTTCTTCCATAAAAGATCATTAACTAATTGCAAACTTTAGGAAACTCGTTACTTCATTCAGGTTTTATCTCTGAACATTTTCATTCTGGACTTTCTGTCTTGTTTACATTTATATTCATGTAATGAAAACTAGTGTAATACTTAAATTAACCCATTTTCCCCAAGTATATGCCTTCCCATTGCTTCATGTGCTCAGTAACAGCTACACTAGGTAAACATTTATTTAGTGTTTTATAGCTTGCCATTCCTTTTCAGGCTTTTTTCATGCATGAAAAGAGTGGCAAACTATAAAACATAGTAATTATATGAGGTAGGAAGGACTCCTGTTATTCTGTTTTATAAATGAGGAAGTTTAGACTCAAAGATATTAAGTGACTTGTCCAGCAAATGAGAGCCAAGATTTTAACCAACTAGTTCTTTGTAGATCCTTGCGTCTCAAGAATAGTAACTTGTTCTCCTATTTCAACAGTGGCTTAAAGTTTGAGTTATGGTTAATTTCCATAATTTTACTTCCAGCACTTCTTTAGTAATTAAGAAAGCATATCAGGGGCACCTGGGTGGCTCAGTTGGTTAAGTGTCTCCCTTTGGCTCAGGTCATGAGCTCAGGATCCTAGAGTTAGCCCCGCCTGGGGCTCCCTGCTCAGTGGGGAGTCAGCTTGCCCCTCTCCGTCTGCCCCTTCCCCCGCTACTGCTCTGTCATTCAAATAAATAAATAGATAAATAAAATCTTTAAAAAAAAAAAGATTTTATTTATTTGAGAGAGAGCACAAGTGGTGGGTGGGGGAGGAGCAGAAGGAGAGGGAGAAGCAGACTCCCTGCTGGGCACAGACCTGGACCTGGGGCTTGATCCCAGGACCCTGAGATCATGACCTGAGCCAAAGGCAGACACTTAACCAACTGAACCACCCAGGTGCCCCTCAAATAAATAAAATCTTTAAAAAAAAAGATGAAAAAACTATGTTAAGAAACATTCATTTAGGGCGCAGTCGTTAAGCGTCTGCCTTCGGCTCAGGTCATGATCCCAGGGTCCTGGGATTGCGCCCTACATTAGTCTCCCTGCTCAGCAGGAAGCCTGCTTCTCCCTCTCCCATTCCCCCTGCTTGTGTTCCCTCTCTCACTGTGTCTCGCTCTCTGTCAAATTAATAAATAAAATCTTAAAAAAAAAAACAAAGAGAGGGGTGCCTGGGTGGCTCGGTTGTTAAGTGTCTGCCTTGGGCTCAGGTCATGATCCCAGGGTCCTGGGATTGCGCCCTACATTAGTCTCCCTGCTCGGCAGGAACCCTGCTTCCCCCTCTTCCACTCCCCCTGCTTGTGTTCCCTCTCTTGTTGGTCTCTCTCTGTCAAATAAATAAATAAAATCTTTAAAAAAAAAAAGAAACATTCATTTTTCCCTCTATCAATTAAACTGATCACATCCTCTATAAATCATCTCAGTGTACACATTTGAGTGGAGAACTGTGCTGATGAAGGACTGATGTGACAGTAGTAATGAAGACAGGAGTAGAGCCTACCTTCATGGCTTTTTGCTGCCAGAAACTAGCCATTGATACATAATTTACACACGTAATTCTAAATTAAATGATAAAAATAGAGGAATGGGAGCTGTTGTAAAAGCATAAGCCAGAGGAAACTGATCTAATGAGGATGGTCAGGGCAGGCTTCCCTGAGGACATTTGATCTGAGATCTTTTTTTTTTTTTTTAATATATTTTTTAAGATTTTTATTTATTTATTTGACAGAGAGAGATCACAAGTAGACAGAGAGGCAGGCAGAGAGAGAGAGAGGGAAGCAGGCTCCCTGCTGAGCAGAGAGCCGGGCGCGGGACTCGATCCCAGGACCCTGAGATCATGACCTGAGCCGAAGGCAGCGGCTTAACCCACTGAGCCACCCAGGCGCCCTTGATCTGAGATCTTCAAGATGAATAAGCATCACCTGAATTCTAAGATCGAAGAACAGTTCAGGGGGAGCAAACCACATTCACCAAGCCCTGAAATGAGGAGGAGCATGATTTGAGCTGAAATGTTAGTGGTTGAAGGTGACATGAGATAAAACTGGAGAGGTAGAGTCTGTATTCTCCAGTGCTTTGTAAGCCATGTTAAGGATTTTGGATCTTAATGTAAAAACAAGGAGTTTAAGAAAGAAAAATTACAAGATCAGATTTCCAGTTTTAAAAATGCTGGGAGAGTGGGTTGCCTGGGTTAAGCATCCGACTTTTGATTGCAGCTCAGATCATGATCTCAGAGTTGTGGGATCGAGCCCGTGTCAGGCTCCCTGCTCAGTGGGGAGTTGGCTTGAGATTCTCTCTTTCCTTCTCCCTCTGCCCCTCCCCCCAAATAAAAATAAATAAATCTTAAAAATAAATTTTAAAAATGTGTCTATATCTATATCTCTACCTCCCCAAGTAGATGCTTCAAAAGAACTAAGTGTGGTGGAAAACAGACCAGCTAGAATATATATTATAATATAGAATATATAGAGAAAATAGAATATTCTATATATATATAATTATATAATATATAAGCTAGATATAGCTTATATGGCGAAGGTGGCTGTTTTTTAAAGCAAACCTTCTTAGCTAAGTTTCTTTTGAGTATGTGTCAAAGTAAATGAGGAAACTAGCATCGTGTGCCAGTTGAAAATGACACGGAGAATGAGGGCCTACTACACATGGCCTCAAGCTAGTTACAGACAGCTTTGCCTTCACACGGTTATAGAAATGTCATCTTAATAGTGAAAGGATTAAATACACTGGAGTAGGAGGCAGTAACATGGAGGCATCTTCTAACTTGAATTATTAATCAGAAGTGACAAGTTATGTATCTCACAAGTGAACAGTAAGCAAATTGGTTTGTGGCTCTGTGTTAGATGTACCAAACAATATACTGTCTTTGGAAGGCAGAGGCTTCCAATGGTGCCAGATAGGGTCACTTAAACAGTAACATCTGTCTCTCTAGCAGTTCTCAGAAAATTCTCAAATAAAAAAAATTACTTTTTATTGTATAAGATTATTATAGCTTGGATGAGGGTGACATCTGTGTATAACAATTCAAGAGATTTCGGAGTTGGGAAACAGGAATGCATATATTACGTGAATATCCCCTTTGCTGGTCATAAAATACTTTTTACCTTCCTACAGAGAGAACTGGGCCTATGTAACTTGTTTCAAGAGTTTTTCCCCCACTCTTAATATGCAGCTAAATGGTACTGTTAGCTCCTTGAGTTAATTATTAAGAAATACTAAATAAACTTCCCTCCCACAATTAGACTTAGCCAGCCTCGCATTTGGAGATCTTGATGTTTTTGCACTTCAGAGAGATTGAGATTCAAAACAACAGTTCTTTTAAAAGATTTATTTTTTTAGAGAGAGAGAGAGAGCACACATCGCACATGCCAGCATGGGAGGAGGGCCAGAAGCAGAGGGAGAGAGAAACTTAAGCAGACTCCGTGCTGAGTGCTGAGCCTGTGGCAGGGCTCGATCTCAGGATCGGACCTGAGCAGAAACGAAGAGCCAGCCGCTTAACCAACTATGCCACCAAGGCACCCCTCAAAACATCAATATTTTATAACATGTGAACCAAAAATTCTTCCCTTAGTACAAAAGAAGAATCATGTTTATTATGAAATAATCAAGATCATTTTAGAAAATTTAGAAAATACTGATAAATCAAAAGAAAATCATGATAATCTCATCATCTAGATAACTTTTAATATTGTGATGTATGGTCTTATTTAGACAGAATTTTTTTAAACAAATGAGATTATCTCTTTATTGTGATCTGATTCTTTTTTCTTAATAAAATGAACATTTTTTTTATCTTGTCACTAAGGTCCTCTATTTTATATCACTTTTAATAACTTTATACCATTCTGTTTTCCTAGAAATACAGTAATCCATTGAATGGATGTACCATTATTTAACCAGTCAATTTTTTTTGCTCTTTTAAACAGTGTTGTAATAAACACCTTGCAGCATGAGATCTTTGTACTTATTTCCAATGATTTCCTTAAGATAAACTCCTAGAAATAGAATTGCTGATTAGAAGTATATGCAGAATATTAAGGCTTTTGTATGTGTGGTCAAATTCTTCTCCAAAAGGGTTGTACCAATTATACATACTTACTGGCACAATACAAGAGTGGAGGTTCTCGCCTTTGCCAGTACTAGCTGTTTACCGATTTTTAAATCTTTACCAAAAGAATGAGCTCATTCTGCTCTAATTTTGTCATTAACATGGTTAATTTTTTACCTGTTTGTTGGCTATTCTAAATCTCTCGCATGTTTGG